GGTACAAACGATCTCTATCCATAAAGATTACAGCCAAGAACACTCTATGGAACAGTTCTACTCTGAAACACATAGGATCCTCACAGTAGGAATCAGCTCTATGGTATAAAACAAGAAGGATCTTTAAAGAAGCCAAAGGAATCCCCACCATTGATCTGTTTTGTGTCCCCAACTATTTTTAACTAACTCAAAATTTTCAAATAACTATTTTCATTCTTCCAAAGAAACATACCCTTACTCAGGAGATAATATCAGCCTCTTTTGCTCTGCCCAACTTTTATCTAAAACTTACAGATTTAAGCCGGACTTGCTGCTGGTCTTCAGTAGGTAAGCCTTAGCATTCTGAACAGCAATCTCAAGCATGCTGGGGGCTGCTTCAGAGACCTCAGGCTCAGCGTGATGCAGATCATGGTTACTGTTTGACTCTTCCTCCTTGACAATATCAAATCTCAGCTCTTTTTCTTTAGACGTGTTATAGCTCGCAGGCCCTGGCCCATGTAAGTGAGGTTTGGGTTGCTGAGACTGTTGAATGGCTTTCCCCTCTAATTCCTTTGTTTGAAGAGAAGTTGATTCTTCCTTCTCATTCGGTTGCTCCAAATGATTAGAGTGAGGTGTCCCAGTTTCAGAAATTACACTCATGGTCTTGTCTGATGGTGAAGGCGTGACAAGGTCCTGCCTGGGTACATCTAGGGATGGAGGACTGGAGGAGGACTCCTGAGGAGAGGCTGGGGCAGGTGACGCAGCTGGTGCTGTGAGGTCATTCGCAGACGTGCTGGCCTGGGGGCTGCAAGGCAGGCTTTCTGTTTCAGGTCCCTGCTCTGACTCCACAGGTTCAGATGGCTTAGGCTCCTGATCTTGAGGGGAAGTTGCTGTCATTTCTTCCCATGGCTGCCCTGCTTCACTTGGTTCTTGATTTTCCTCTTCCTGCTTCAGGGAAGTCCACTCTTCCATGGGCGAAGTCAACTGAAAACTCTAGATGGAGAGCCGGTTGGATATAAAAGGACCGTCGGTTGGATATAGGAGGCACAGTAGGAAAATGGCTTTGCTGAGGCCTCCTTAGCAATTTCCAGGCTCAGAGTGCCCTGTTAGTTTCAGCGTCCTGTCTCCATAGCAACCCGGCAGGGCTCCTTTAGAAAAACAAAGCGCGGCATGCCAGTTGCCATGATTTCAGAGGGAGGACCAAGAAAGATGAAAATGTTAGACTTGTGATTTGGTGGCGTCTCTGAGTCTTTTCTGGCGCAGCCAATCAGCTCTGCACTCAGGCAGTCTTCACAGGTTATCTGAGAATTCCCCCGCCCTTGGTAGGAGGCGGAGCAATCCTGCTCCCATATACTTTGAAGGTACAATAGTTTGATCCGTGTTCCACACAGAGAGAGGGACAAGTCGAGTCCTGGTGTGGCGCTGTGGATTATTGCACTAGACTACAAAGTCGTTTTGAACCTCAAGGTCGGAACCGGAACCGACTCGAGTGCATTTAACAACAAAGCTTTAAAAGGGGGTTGGGGGGTGTCATTGTGTGTGTGTGTGTGTGTGTGTGTGTGTGTGGACATAGCAGGAAAGGTATACCTTGGGACACTTGGAGGTGCAGGTACCATAAAGATCACAATTGTGCTGACTGGTAGAGTGCAAGATTGACACTTAGAATGCACAAAGATGTTTCCTCTGAGTCAACGAAACTCTGAGGCATTTGGAAAATGAATGAAGTCCTGATATTTGCTCTTTTACCTTATATGAAATATTCCCTATGAATAGGCAGGCTACTAAAGGCAACACACAAAAAATAATCCCATAAAAATAAGCAGTTTAGAAATTACCTATTTTCTAATAATTGAAATTCAAATCAACTATAATAATAGACCTTTATTTGATAATAAGGTATAAATTCCTAAATTTGGGATTATTTCAAGTCACGACGTTATATTGTTAAGGGCTGTGGAGTCAGGTCTGATTCATAATGACTGTATATAGGGTTTCAGAGCTTTGCATCTTCACAAGGGCCAAAAGCTTCATCTTTCTCTCACTGAACGGCTGGCTGACTCGAAACATGGAACTTGTGGTTCACAGTCCAGTGATAATTATATAGAACTATTAATTCATATTATTTAATCTCTAACATTGAGGACTTAATGTACTTACTGATGGAAATCAAAGACCACAACCTTTGATATAAGTTGCACCTCAGTGTAAAGAAAACAAAAATACTCACCACTGAGTATTTAACATCTATATAAATGGGTCCACACAAACTACATTTGTATAAATGGAGAAAAGATTGAATTGTCAAAGGTTTCATTTTGGTCTGATCAACCATCAACACTCATAGAAGCAACAGTCAAGAAATCAAACTAAATATTTATTGCATTAGGCAAATCTGCTGCACAAAACCTCTTTGAAGTGTTCAAGAGCAAAGATGTCAGTTTTAGGACTATGATGCGCCTGAACCAAGCTATGATATTTTCAATAATCTCATATGCATGTGAAAGTTGGACAATGAATAAGGAAGACTGTAGAAGAACTGATGAGTTTGAGTTATGGTCTTGGAGGAGAATATTAAAAGTACCAAGGACTGCCAAAAGAACAAACAAGAATTACAGTCAGAATGCTCCTTGGAAGTCAGGATGGCCAGACTTTGTCTCTCATATTTCGGACATATTATCAGAGGGACCAGTCACTAGAGAAAGGTACCTTAGTAAAGTGAGGGTGTGAGAGAAAGAGGAAGACCCCCCCCCCAAAGGAAATGGATTGATATAGTGGCAGCAGCAGTGGATTAAAGGGGCTAACACTTTTTCCCTCTTCACGTTTCCTTTCTCTTATTTCTTGCAACAGGCATAATACGGTGGAAGCTTTGTTTTTCTTTTCTTGAATTATTTAATGTTAAGAGAAAGAAGTATAAAGGAACAGGCTTAGAATTGTCTCTCCCATGTAGGGGAAAAATAAACTGCATGGTTACAATTGTGTATGCACAATGAATAATCTAGTATTCCGTACTCCAACTTTATTTTCACCCTGAAGCTCGAGTTAGACTGACTCCAGTAAGCCTCTAGTTGTTTCTTTCAATTTCTCAAATGTTCCAAATGTTCCACATTCCTGTTTGCCTCCGTCCTGTTATTGCTCATGTTTTGCCTCTGACTGAAATGTTTTCCTTTTTTCTTTTACTTAGTTAGTTCTTTAGTTTAGAGAATTTTTCTCTGACCCCCAAAACATTCACAGCATTCTCTGTCATAGCACCCTGCATTTTTCAATCACAACATGTATCACAATTTGTAATTGTAAAGGATTGTCAGTATTTTTTTTATAACCATTATTTATTCACCCATATTCTAGTACCATACCTTGAATTGGAGTCCTGGTGTGGCTCTGCAGGTTAATGTGCTGGACTGCAAGGTCAGTTTGAACCACAAGATCAGTGATTCAAGCTCACCAGCTCTCCTAGGAAACCTTATATAGGGTCACTTTAAGTCAGAAAATAAAGAAGATAAAGCCAAATATTACAACAAAAATTTCAGAGATCTGGAGTCAGAAAACCAAAAAGGAAAAACACGCTCAGCATTTCTCAAGCTGGGGGAACTGAATAAAAATTTCAGCCTCGACTTAGTGTTATTGAAGGATTCGCTGGGCAAATTATTGTGATACAGAAAGCATAAAAAGAAAACATGCACAGAGTCACTGTACCAAAAGAAAATGGTTGATGTTCACCTGTTTCAAGAGGTAGCATATGATCAAGAGCCAATGATACTGAAAGAAGACGTCCAAGGTGAATTGAAAGAATTGGCAAAGAACAAGGCACCAGGAATTGATGGAATAAAAATTGAAATCTTTCAAGTAAGTGAGGTGGCACAGGAGGCACTCTCTCATCTATGCCAAGAAATTTGGACAACTATCTGGCCGACTGATTGGAAGAGATCCATATTTGTGCCCATTCCAAACAGAGGTGACCCAACGGAATGCAGAAATCATTGGACAATCTCTTTAATATTCCATGTGAGTAAAGTTATACTAAAAGTAATACAGAAATAGGTATAAGCATACATTGACAGAGAACTTCCAGAGGTTCAAGCTGGATTCAGAAGAGGCCGTGGAACGAGAGATATCATTTCTGATGTCTGATGGATATTGGCTGAAAGCAGAGAATATCAGAAAGATGTTTACTTGTGCTTTATTAATTATGTAAAGGCTTTTGATTGTGTGGATCATGACAAGCTATGGACAACATTGTGAAGTATGAGTATTTCAGAAGACTTAATTGTGCTCATTAGGAATCTGTACATGGACCAAGAGGCAGTTGTTCGAACAGAACAGGGGAACACTGAATGGTTTAAAATTAAGAAAGGTGTGCAACAGGGTTGTTTTCTCTTACCATACTTACTCAACCTATATGCGGAGTAAATACTCCAAGAAGCTGGGTTCTATGAAGAAAAGCGTGGCATCAGGATTGGTCGAAGACTCATTAACAACCTGCGATATGCAGATTATACAACTCTGCTTGCTGAAAGTGAAGAAGACTTAAAATATTTACTGATGAAGATCAAAGAGCACAGCCTTCGGTATGGATTTCATCTCAATGTAAAAACAAAAATTCTTACCACTGGACCAATAACATTCTTAACAATGGAGAAAAGATTGAAGTTGGCAAGGACTTCATTTTTCTTGGATCAAATATAAACACTTATCGAAGCAGCAGTCAAGAAATCAAACAATGCAGATGTATTGCATTAGGCAAATCTGCTGCACAAGACCTTTTTAAAGTGTTGAAGAACAAAGATGTCAGCTTGAAGACTAAGGTGTGCCTGACCCAAGCCATGGTATTTTCAGTAACCTCATATGCATGTGAAAGCTGTACAGTGAATAAGGAAGACCATAGAAGAATTGATGCTTTTGAGTTATGGTGTTGGAGAATATATTGAAAGTGCCATGACTGCCAAAAGAACCAATAGATCTGTTTTGGAAAAAGTGCAGCCAAGCCTTAGAGGCCAAGATGGCCAAACTTCATCTCTCATACTTTGGACATATTGTCAGAAGGGAGCAGTTGCTAGAGAAGGATATCATGTTTGGTAAGGTGGAGAGTCAGAGAAAAAGAGGAAGACCCCCAGCAAGATGGATTGGCAAAGTTGCAGCATCGATGGGCTCAAGTGTGGCAATGATAGTGAGGTTGTCCCAGGGTCGGGCAGGGTTTCGTTCTGCTGTGCATAAGGTCACCATGAGTCGGTACCTACTCAATGGCACCTAACAACAACAACAACATTAGTCGGAACCAACTCGATGGCACTTAGTAACAACAACAGTGAGCTGAAAGGCTCTGGTATTGACCATTTTGCATCTGACAGACCTATTATTTGCTATTTTGGGAATGACAAATTGCAGTTATCATCAAGAAGAACATTTAAATACCTATCCTGAAGTCAATGCTCTCAATGATAGATTAATACCTATACACTTACGAGGAAGACTAGCTGTTAGAACTGTTATTCAAAAGTGCACACCAATCATAAATGTCAGTGAAGAAATGAAAGATTTTTGCAATCTTCTGCAGCCTGAAATTGATCAAATATGCAATCAACAAGCATTGATAAATTAGTGGTATTGGAATGCAAATTTGGGGACAAAGAAGATTGATATATAGTTTGAAAATAAAGCCTTGGTGATTGAAAGAACACTGGAGATCACATGGTACAATTCTGCAAGACCAACAACTTATTCATTGGAAATACTCTTGTTCAACAGTATAGTTAACAGCTATGGATATGGATTTTTTTCCCAATTGTTTTACACTGGAATCAAAAATAACTACATCTGTGGAAAGAGATAGTTGAAAACCTCTCAGCTTCTCAGTACAAAGACAGACTATGAAGAAGGAGAGACAAACCACTTCTGAATAGTTAGCCAGAGAAAAACCTTATGAATAGCAGTGAAGCATTGTCAGATACAGTGCCAGAAGATGAGCCCCTCAGGTT